CAAGACCCTATGATGATGAAGGAGGAAGTTCAAGTTGCTCTGAAGGAATTGGCAAAAAACAAGGCTCCAGGAGTTGACTGCATACCAATTGATTTATTTTATTCAATCTGTAGGCTGAGCAAATTATTCTAGAAGCTGTACTCTACAAAGAGGAATGTGGCATCAGGATTGGAGGGAGACTCATCAATAAATAATCTGTGTTATGCAGATGACAGAACCTTGCTTGCTGAAAGTGAGTAAGAGTTGAAGTGCTTGTTGCTGAAGATCAAGGATTGAAGTCTTTGATATGATTTGCATCTTAATGTCAGGAAAACAAAGATTCTTACCAATGGAAGAAAAGGTAACATCATGATGGATGGAGAAGAGATTGAAACTGTCAACAACATTTTTCTTGGATCACAATTAAGACCCTTAGCACCAGCAGTTAGGAAACAAGGAGATGCACTGCACTGGGAAAACCTGCAGTTTGGGACCCCTCCAAATTACTGCAGAGAAATGATGTCAGTTTTGAGAACTAAGATACATCTGATTCAGGGTGTAGTCTTTCTGATCATTTGCTATGCATCTAATAGTCAGGCAGTGACTAAGGAGAAGAATTGATGTCTTTGAGTTGTGATGTTGGAGAAGAACACTGATCACCCCATGGATTGCCAAAAGAAAACAAATATGTCTTGGAGAGGGTGCAGCCAGAGTGTTCGTTGGAGGCACAAATGATGAGGCTTCCCCTCACATACTCTGGGCATGTTGCTAAGAGGGACATGGAGAGGGACATGATGCTGGGAAGGGCAGAGGGTTGGCAAAGGAGAGAAAAACCCTCGACCAAGTGGATTGACATGGTGACTACCACAATGGGCTCCTATGTGTCAGGAAGTGTGAGGATGGCACTGGATAGAACAGTGTTCAGATCTTTTGTTCGTAGGGTCACCATGAGTCGTACTTGACTCAACAGCACCTAAAAACAACAACAAGAACAAATATTGTACTCAACAGATTGAGTTAAAAAGATAATTAATAATTGAGTTTAAAAAAGAACCTGTGTCAATCATACATAAAAAGAGGAAAAGCTGGAAAGGAAATTCAAGCAGGTTCTTAGATACCTAACATGGTAGAAAATAAGTACTTGATCACACACAGAAAATATTTCAAAAGAGCACAATGTTCAAGATAAATATTATCAACTAAATAAGCTAATCCTTTTGGTTTAAATAAGACTTTTGTTGTTCTTAGGTATCATTAGTTGCTCATGACTTATAGCCATCCTATGAAACAACAGGTCAAATTTTGCCTGATTCTGAGCCAAACGAAACTTTAGAGGATAATTTCATTTAAAGATTATCTCATGGCAACAGTTTTAAGAGTTCATTCAACATCTATAGTGCCAAAGTTTGCATGCCAGAAAAATCGTGACTTTTGTTCTGCATTCTTCCCCTTTTAATTAGGATACTTCCACAAATTCTTTGATCAAATATCCAATAATGGTAGCCAGGCACCATTCAGTTATTCTAATTTAATGGCAAAGGAGTTATCTATTCATAGAAGCAATTAAGCATGCACTCATTTCTTCTTATTATTCCTGACTTCTTCCTCTCCTGCTCCAGATGAACAGACACTAACTGTTTTATCTTGGGTGTTTGCTTACATGTTTTTTAACACTCTAGGCACTATGCAATGAACTACGCGTTAGAATTATTAATGTTGTTAGTCTCATTTGAGTATGACTCAAAGTGACTTTGTGAACAACAGGTCTGATCTGTGTTATCCTGGGCCATCATCATCATCAGTCATCTCTGACATAGGCAAGCTCATTTCCACTTCTTGGAAGAAATGCAGCCAGAGTGCTCTCCTTAGAGGCATGGATGACAAAGCTTTGTTTCCACACTTAGGCATGTTGCTAGGGAAAGGCTATTCCCTGGAAAGGAAATTATGCTTGGAAAGTGATGGGTCAGCAAAAGAGAGCAAGGCCCACAATGAAATGGAATGAAGAGTTAGAATAGAAGCATTAAAAATGTTATCAGGCTAGTAATTTGGGATTTCCATGAAATTATGAGTATTGAGGGTACCATGGACTGCGAGGAAAACAAACAGATTCATCCTGGAAAGGGTCTAGCCAGTCTGTTCCTTGGAGGCAAGGATTCTAAGGCTCTGTCTAACATACTTTAGAGATGCTGAAAGGAGGGACAGATCCTTGGAGAGGGACATCATGCTTGGTAGGGTGGAGGGACAGTCCAGAAGGGGAAGGCCCCCTATGAGGTGGATTAATTCTGTGACTGGGTAATCGGGATGGGTGTGTCGGAGAGGGTGCACTTGGCACAGGACAGAGCAGAGTATAGAGTCGCAAGCGACTCGATGGCACATAACAACAACAACAACACACTCTTCAAACTCAAAACCATGAAATCAAATCCCATGAGGTGCCATAAGCCACCTCAACAGCTACTCTGGTATCTCACTCTCATTCTTCCTGGTTTTGGTAAAAATGTAACTATTATTTGCTGAATGAATGAATGATCTTAAATTTTCTTCTGTTTTTTGCTTCACTCTACTCATGCAAATTTCTATCTTGGGCTCACTGTCATCTCAACTGTTAATGTCATTCTTTCTCTCTCTAGGTGATCTCATTTCTACCCATTGCTTTAAAACTCTTATGTTAATAACTTCTTTTTTTTAAATTTTATTATTTTTGTGTGAGTGTACCATCAAATCAGATCTGACTGGTACAGGAGGAGATTGTCCCTCCTTCCCCGGCAGAGCATCTGGTGGATTCGAACCATGTGCCTCTGGGATTGTAGTTGCAGCTCCTTACTACTAGTCCACCAGAGCTCCCCGTATGTTAATAACTTCTGATTTTGTATTTCTAACGTACTTCTAATTTTTTGTCACTTTCATCAGTAAGCTTAAGATTAAACTTAAAACTCACAACTAAGTATAAGCCAGATTTGCTACTGCATATATATAAAATGTTCTGAAGCCCATTAAACTGAGTTATTCTGTCAACAAACTCCCTAGTCAAAACTGATCATTGCTATTTAAAAATCAATATCCACAGAAGCCTCCTCCTATTTAATATGGTAAATAAATGTAACTTTAGAAGGTATATAAGATTCATCTTGATATGAGTAAAAGTTTCCAAACTTTTACTCTAAGTAACTTTTTAAAGCTGACTCAAAACTGTCCTGAAACTAAGAAAAGTACTTTAAACACAGCTTTATAATTAAAATAGATGTCAGAAAATAATTTAAATATTATTTCTACTAATGGAAGTATTACTTTTATAGTATCAGCAATTAGCAGTACATTAAATGTGAATTATTCATTATACAACATAGTTTATAACAAAATTTACCACTATATACCGTATGTATTCACTGGCAGTAAGCACCATCAGTTAGTAAATGGGCAAGGTGAGATGGGACAGCAGGCTACAATACATATTCAAACAGGGAAAAAGAAAACTTAACTACAAAACCTATCTTTCTATTCAAAATAGCAAATAAAGAATCCACGTTGCACAACGAATGCACAAGCACAAGCAAGGTTGGTGGTGTACTATCTACTCAATTAAAAGGTGCTCCCAAATCTATGTCACTTGAAGCAAAAAAGTTGCAGCAGGCAAAAGAGCTCCTCGAAGAATTATTTCTTCTTGTTCAAAGTTTATGCTAATGGCATAGAACACTTTGAGTAAACCAATCATAATTATGTTGTTGAAAAATTTGTTTTTATATACAAAATGGGTCTGATTTTGTAAAATTTAGTAAAGCATCAATGGAGCTATTTCTGCCTGCCTACACTTGAGAACTCACCACATGTTCAACACTTTCTGGCAGCTATACATACACACACACAGAAAAAAAAAATACAAGGAAAAAAAAGAGAGAAAGATCATCAGAAAACAGCCCACATTGAAATGATCACACTGTTTTTCATGCTTAATTTTTCCAAGCAGCCTTTTTATTATTTACATTCACAAAAAGTTTCATTTAAACTAGTAATAAAGCATGCAGGATGGGATAATAATTATTTACTCTTATGCTGGCAGAAAAATAAATGAACATCTATTTTTAAGCAGTAACTTTCATGCATAAACACTGCTAAAAAGAGACTGAGTAAGATGGGTTCAATAATGTATACTGCACTGAAACAGAGGAGGGAGAGAACCGTCTAAAAGAGAGATGTAACTGGGTATTTCTGTCATCACAGGAGACTAGAGCGAGGGCTGCATGGTGGAGGGGACCTGGGGGAGTGTTTGTAAAACAATGAAAGAATCTTTTCTTTTACTTTTCCATAATTTTTGGACTCATGTACTTATAACTTGTTAGTCAAATTTGTGTCTTCTAGGTTGCAACACCCCCATGATACATCTTGAAGGATATGTACATGTACAGCCAAGCACAATCAATAAGAGTGCATCTGAATTCCAAAATCAATCTCCATAATAGTCTATGTGTTTCCTACTGCCAAAGGGGCCCTTTAGAGTAGTGAGAGAAGATCTTCACCCTGAAACCCACAGCGTCCCTTTTCAGCAGTAGGTAGCTAAGAGAATACGCCGTCCCCTTTTCCTTATGACTCAGGGTGAAGTCTCTCTCAGGGAGGAGTGATAGGGAATGGCAAAGGACACACTGACAAAGAAGATTAATCAGAACTGGCTTTGACAAGCACTGTGGCATTTGGACAAGAACAAACTGGGAGGAGGGTAGAGAGAATAGTGCAACAATGAATGAGTGGAAGCCCAAAATCTCTGTAAATGTTTATGAAAATTAATAAAATATAATTATAGAAAAAAAACTATTCTGTTAATCTTAAAAAAGGAACTTTGAGCACAATTCTTTAAAAATAACTTTATAACTTAAGTATTTATTGAAATATCACTCCTAAAACCTAAGTGATTAAAATAACTAAACACTGATTTGCATGCAACTAGTCTTGAAATCTTTTCTAAAAGTAATTGTACATGACCATCAATCTCAAGCATGCAGCATTTAAGGAAAAATGATTACCAAACTGAGCATAATGAATACGCACTTAGTTTCATCCAACACTTCCACTTCTGTAGGGGCCGTGATGGGTGCATTTGAACGTCCTGCAGTAGGGTCATCTGTGTTTAATTCTCCATTTGTAGAACTTACAACCTGCGGGCGGGGGGGAACCAAGAAAGCCTATATATATATATATATATATATACACTTATGTATATGCAAGTGTGTGTGTGTGTGTGTGTGTGTCTGTGTGTGCATAGGTGTACATGGTCATGTGTCACTTCACATCCATGATACATTCTATGAAATAGGAGCTTATACAATTTAGATTTTGGATGAATACCATCTCATTTACAGGCAGTCCAGGGATTATGAAAGACTCCCATTCCTAAATCTAATTTAAGTGGAATTTCTACACACATTACAACATTCAGATATGGTTCATATCAATATCTTAAAAAATACTTTTTTGTGTTCAGCTTATTCTCCTAGTCATAAAAAAAAATTAAACATTTACAGGTACCCTAAAACATCTTTAACATTTAGTACAGCAATAATAGTAGTAATTTTTTGATGTGTATAGTAAACTACCACTTGTTTGCTATCAAGAATCACTCACTGTACTTTGACTTTTTTAATATTACAGCCTTTCCTGTTCTGTAGTTAGGACAACAGATGTCTATGTGGACAGTCTACATATAAATGTATTAAAAAATATATATATGATATAATAAATATAATTAAATTAAAATATTTAAATTAGAACATTAATGTGAATAATAAAAATTAGTATGGAGTTGCTCATAATTGAATGCAGTAACAGGGCCAACATGTTACAATCAATACCAAATTTTATGATTTCCTTTCCATTTTTATATTTTGGTTTTAAGTAACTTTCCTTTTGATTTTAAGACTACCTCCTAGACTTAAGTCTCAATGACTAACCTCTGTGCATTTATTTCCTGTGGCACATTAATGTATCATTAATTATTTCTTTTTTTAAGATTCCATTGTTTCTACTTTCAATAGAGTTTTCACTTCAACCCATAACTTTACTCAGCTCGTTTACCACGAAGTACATACCAAGACCATTCCTTAAACTTGGTCAAGTGCTAAATGCAGGAGTCATGGCAATTCCACTCTGACTTAAACAAAAACCCCGTGTCTAACTATAAGCCCTCATTCCTATGTACATTGCAAGCACAATCAGTTCTCATCACCTCCAGTATTACTAAAGAGCCCTAGTACAAACTTATTTTCCAAATAAAATAGGTATCTATGAACTGATTTTTCTCCTTATATTTGTGCTCTCCATAATGTAGTCTCTGTGCAGCCCACATGGAGCTTATTTTATGATATATGCCAAATCACATATAATTTCCTGCTTAAAACTCTCCTATTGCTGTCTGCATATTTCATTCCAATTAAAAGTCTACATTCTTTACTTTATGAACTCTCACATGATCTAATACTCAACTACCTCTCTGATTTCATGCATCTTTTCTCTTCACTCAATTATTTTACATCTCCTAGGTCAACCACATCCTCATCATAAGGCCAGGCATTATCTCTTCTCGTTGTCTGGAATTCTTTTCATACCTATTTGTTTTCATCTACTTGTTTTTCAGATTCTTGGAGAACATATTCAAGTCAAGTCCATTCCAATCAGATACATTCTTATATGTCACCCAATTGTTTAAACTCTAAATGGCAGTTATCAATGTTAATACTTCTTTTGTTCATTGTGCTTCTCCATACTGACTGCTAGCTCCACTATCATTTAAGTTCCATGACAAAAAAGTTGTCTGTCTTGTATTTCACTGCATCTCTCCATTCAGAATAAATAATAAATATTTGTTGAAATCAATAAATGCACATGTGCATGAATGAAATCAAGCAAAATAAAGCCCTTAGCAATCCTCCCAAAGTCTCTTGGTCCATCAAATTTGAATATATAATCAATATAGCTGGATTAACAAAAAATTTAAAGAAGTATCACATGAATAAGAATCAATGGTAACACAGGAAGTAATTCAAGCTGACCAAAGACATTAGGAAAAAAAAATAAGACTCCAGGTACAGATGGGATGCCAATTATAGATGCAATCCTGGACATGCTTACTAGTCTATGTCAGGAAATCTGGAGCACAGCTGCCTGATGGATACTAGGAGAGATTAATATTTGTTTGTTCCCATTCCCAAGAAAGGTTTTCCAACAGAATGTATAAATTATCAAACAATATCGTTACTATCACATGCAAGCAAAATGCTGCTAAAGATCAGTCAAAAACAGTGGGAACAAAACACTGACAGAGAATTACCAGAAATTTAGGTTGAGTTTAGAAGAGGCCATGACATCATGGATATCACTGCTGAAGTCAGATGGATCCTGACTAAAAGCAGAGAATACCAGAAGAATTTCTATCCGTGCATTATTGACTATGCAAAGGCATCTGACTGTGTGGATAGTAATATATTATGGGTTAACACTGAGAATCTCAGAATACTTAATGGTACTCATACACAATCTCTATCTAGACCAAAATGTTGTCTGAACTGAACACTGGATAAAGGGAACACTGGATGGTTTAAAATCAAGAAGGATGTGTGTCAGGGATGTATCCATTCTGTATACCTATTCAATCTACAAGCTGAGCAAATAATTTGTGAAGCAAGACTCTGAAGAATGTGCCATCAGGATCACAGGAAGATTCAGCAACAACCCGCGCTACACAGATGACAAAACCTCGCTTGCTGAAAGGCAAGAGGACTTGAAGTGCTTGCTGAAGAAGATAAAATACTACAGCCTTCAATATGGATTGCATCACAATATAAAAAAACCAAAAGTCCTTACCACTGGGTCAATGGACAACATAATGAAAAATGAAGAAAGGTTTGAAACTGTCAATGATTTCATCTTACTTGGATCCACAATCAACACCCTTGGTACTAGCAGTCAGGAAATAAGAACATGAATTGCTTTGGGAAGTCCTCTGTAAGGACTTCTCCAAAATACTGAAGAGCATTGACATCAGTCTGAATACGAATATGTGCATGACTCTGATTATGGTCTTTTCCACTGCTTGCTTCGCATCTGAAAGTTGGCCACTGACTGAAGATGACAGAACTGATGCCTTTGAGTTATGCTATTGGAGAAGAGTACTGAATATACCATTGACTGTCAAAAGAACAGGTACATCTTGGAAAAGGTGCAGCTGGATTGCTCCTGGAGAGAAGCATCACAAAGCATTGTGTCTCAATCCCAGACATGTTGCTTGTTGTTGTCTGTAGGTTCCCTCAAGTCAAATATGACTCATAGTGACCCTGTGAACAAAAGATCTGAACCTTGTTCTATCTTGAGCCATCCTCACACTTCTTGACAAACAAGAGTCCACTGCAGCTGTCATCACGTCAATCCACCTGGCCGAAGGTCTTCCTCTCCTTTGCCAACCCTCCACCCTTCCCAATATCATGTCCCTCTACAAGGAACAGCACGTCCTAGCAACATGCCCAAAGTATGTGAGACAAAGCCTCATCACTCTTGCCTCCAAAGAGCACTCTAGCTGTGCCTCTCCAAGTCATATCTGATTGCTCTCTGGGCCATCCATGTTGCTAGGAGAGGTTATTCCTTGGAGATGGGTATCATGCTTGGAAGGGTGAAAGGTCAGCGTAAGAAAGGAAGACCTCCAGTGAGATGGTCTGTTACAACGACTGGAGTAATGGCTCAGGTATATCAGAGATGGTGAAGATGGCACAGGATACCACAGACTCCAGATGTGTTTTTCGTAGGGTTGCTTTAAGTCGTACTCACCTTGATGGCACCTAGTAATAACAATAAACTCTTAATTATGGAAATTCAGTCTCCTAGATCTTATGGAAAGGTGTTCTGGTGGCCTGGTGGCAAGAAGCTGTATTGCTAACACGAAGATATACAGTCTAAATCCACCAACTGCTCGAGAAAAAGATGGGCAATCTCCTCCTGTGCGATTATACTGCCACTAAAATCCTGGTAGAGGGTTAGATGAGTCAGTCCCAATTCAACAGATCCTATGTAGAAAGCTTCGGTAGTGTATTCTGTAGTAAGCTGTACCCTAGTCAAGGCCACAGAATATCTCACTGGTGGTTTGAATCCACCAGCTACTCTGAGGAAAGAAGCTGGGTAATTTCTTCCGACATGATACAAACTCTGAAAACTCACTGGAGGATCAGCTATGCGTCAGTTCTGACTCCACAGCAATGACTCTGACTGACTTTGAGATCCCATGTGGTTCAAGTACTCAGAATTGATTTTGCATTTGTACAGACAGCTGAAAACACACAAAACTGCCATGGCAATGTTCAGAGACAACTAAAGGAATTACTGGAGAAGAATATTCTTACATTTACCTTTCTGCTACTTATACCATTCTCCTGAGGTTTGCATACATTTATCTTTATTCCCTTCTTCATAAAAACATTTAAAATTTATATTGAAAATAATTTGTGTCTTTATTCTTAAATTTTAAAATGTCAGCACTCTGAAACTAAATTGGAAAGAAGCTACAGAACTGAGTTCCTATCTCATACTTTTCCATTTTCCACTGTTTTTAACTAGCAGAATTTCTTTTACAATGTAGATAATAAAATATTTCACTGAAAAATTTCTGTTGCTATGATATAATGTTCAATAGAGTTCTTCTCTTTCCTTTTGCTCAAAGGCCTAGATAGTTCTATTCTACATCAAATTGTTGTTGTTATGTGCCATTGAATTTCTTGCAACTCATAGTGACGCTATGTACAACAGCTCTGAAGCCTGCCCTGTCCTGAGTCAGTCTCACTGCCTCAGACACAATTACCCCACTGCCCTCATTACTGTATCAATCCATCTCATCCTGGGTCTTCCTCTCCTGTGCTGTCCCTCCACCCTTCCAAATATGATTTCCTTCTCCAAGGACTGGTCTCTCCTGGCCACATGGCCAAAGTATATGAGATGGAGTTCCTAAATCCTCCAAAAACAAACTTGGCTTCACCCTCTCCAAGATAGACCTTTTTATTTTCTTGGCAGTCCATGGCATGTTCAAGAATCTTCTCCAGCACCACAATTAAAAGGCATCAATTCTTCTATCATCCTTAGTCATTATCCAGCTCTTTGATACATTAAGTAATTGCGAAGA